GGACTGTATCTCCAAGTCTTGAATTCTCAGAAAGTCTGACTGAGACCTGAGAATCTACATTTCTAAGCTGATATCCACTGACCTAGGTGAAAGGAGATAAATCCTTGCCCAAGGAGAATTCCTCTGTACTTCAGTAGAAAAGTGTTTTGTGTGTGTGTGTGTGTGTGTGTGTGTGTGTGTGTGTGTGTGTGTGTGTTCATTCTATGGTGATGCTCACCCAGTGTCTTAGCTTCTTTTCTGTTGCTATTTAAAATATTCTGGAAAAAAGCAACATAAGGGAGAAAGGATTCACTTCAGGTCACAGTTCAAGATGCAGATGGTCCTTGAGAGTGGTATCACACCAGTAGAAGCCTGAAGCAGCTTTATCTCCATAAGAAAGGAGCAGAGGGCTAGGGGTGGATGCCTGAGTGCCCAGCTTCCATTCTTTGTCTTATACAGTCCTCATGTCCAGGACATGGTGCCACCCACAGCTGGCAGGTCTTCCTATGCTAATTCAAGTAATCAAGATAATAATCCCCCTGCTGAGGGGTCCCTCTCCCAGGTGATTCTAGAGCCTGTCTAGCTGATAATTAACATGAACCTGGAGAATAAAAACATCTAGCTGCCTCAAATCTTACAAAAAGCTCATCTTTTTAATAACCAACTATTTCTCAACATTATATTTTTCTTCTTGGATGCCAATCATGAAATGCTTTTCAAGAAAATTTAACACACTGTTGTAGCTGTTTTTTGTTTTAGTTGCTTGTTTTTTACCCTTTGGGGACCTGCCCCCCCCCCCCGCTCCCAAATAAACAGAGACTTATTTTTCCTTATGAATGCCTGGTGTCAGCTTGGCTTATTTCTAGTCAGCTTTTCTTAACTTAAATTATCCTGTTTTTCTTCTTCTACATTTTGCCTCTGGGATCTTACCTTTCTTTATTCTGTGTACCTTTCTTTACTTCTTACTCTGTGGTTGGTTGTGTGGTTGGGTGACTGGCCCCTGGCATCCTCTCTTCCTTCTCCATTTTTTGCTCCTCACCATTCTCTCTCTTCAGATTTATTTATTCTGTCTGCATGCCAGCCCTGCCTATCCTTTCTCCTGCCTAGCTATTGGCCATTCAGCTCTTTATTAGACTAACAAGGTGTTTTAGACAGGCAAAGTAACATAGCATTACAGAGTTAAACAAATGCAACATAAAAAGAAGGCAACACATCTTTGCATCACTAAACAAATATTCCACAGCATAAACAAATGTAACACATCTTCAACTAATATTCCCCAACACAATGGCTTCTTCTCAGGCCTTTTACCTAAACCTGTTCTGTAGTATTGAATGCTGATTTGATTGTTTTGCAGACAGGGTCCAAGCCAACCCAGTCTTACCTGGAACTCATTACATAACTGAGGTTGCCCTTGAATTTCTGATCTTCCTGACTCTGCTTCCTGAGCGTGAAGATTATGGGCATACAGCACCATACCCTGGTTTATAGAGTACTGGAAACAGAACCCAGAGCCTTGTGTATGCTAGTCAGACATTCTACCAACTGAGCCACGCCTTGACCCTGATTAACTCATGTCTTAAAGTTCAGATGCGTCTGAACTTGTCTCATGTCCTTATAGAGGACAGATGATCTGTTTGATTCATCTTAGAATTGCCTATTGTGTCTTTCGTTTATTTTTAAAAATAAAATAATTTTATAGCAGCTAAATATCACTGAATGAATATTCATGGGAAGAAGGCTTAGAAGGTGAAAGATTAAAACTTGAAACAAGCAGTCTGCACTGTCAAATACAATGACCATTAGCCACATGGGGCCATTCACATTCCCTTAATTACAATGGCATGAAATTAAAAATCCAGTTCCAAACTACAGTCATCAAGACTGTGTAGTATTTGCCAAAGTACAGACAAATGGATCAAGGGAACAGAATAGGCAGTCCAGAAATGGACACACATACACACAGTAAACTGCTCTTCACCAGGGGAGGAGAGGCAACCCACTGTTAAAGGCTTTCCTCTTCGGGAACTCCACAGCTTTGGACCCAGAAAGTGTCAAAGGAAACTTGAGCTGCCCAGGACCCATTCCTTCTTGCAACATGCCCTGAGGACAGTTACCAATTGATTGACTTCAGCTTCAACCCCGAGTGATGCTAAGGGAGGCAGGGAAATCTGCTGCCTAAAGGTCTCACCTTCCCTTCATGGCAGAGGAACTTAGCCTCCCCTGCTCTTAGCACCCAGCTCAATGCCTTTCAAACAGAAGGAGCATAATGAGGGCTTTAAAAACTGAGAAGATGGGGTGACTATACCTGAGCCCTCTCAGTGACTTTTAATGGAATGTTAACAAACTTACTATGTGTCAGAGACAGTCCACACTGCCCTGGCTTATATATCTAGAATGTCAATCAATCACACAATAACTTAAATGTTCTGAGGTCAGATTTCAGTTTTTAATTTGTGTGTATGTGTGCATCAGTGTTTTGCCTAAATGCATGTATACAGCAGGTGCCTGGTGGCTGCCCTCAGAAGTCAGAAGAGGACACTGGATTTCCTGGAACTGGAGTGACACATAGTTGTGAGCCACGTATGGGTACTGGGAAATGAACCGGGGCCATCTGCAAGAACAATAAGTACCACTCTCCAGCTCCCATTCATCAGATATTAAATAAAGGTGAAAGAGATGAAATTAAGTCTAATTCAAGGATGTATTTTTATTTAACCCAACAACTCTAAGCCATTGTCATGTCAACAACCAATCCCTATAAAATTAATAAATGTCCCTGGTCAATCGGGTTGCCACAACAAAGTCACTTCTTGGTATTTTAGTTTCCTCGTTGGTACAGTGGCATCAGGTGGTGTCATTCCAAGCAGACACTGAAGGCTTCCATTTATTTCCCTTTTTACCTCTTAGTGTCTGAAGTGCTTGGGTTTGCCTTGTCCACCCAGACGATTGTGTTTTTTGGTCACTTGGACTAATACACCTGAAATAAGCATTCTTTTAGCAGGGAGTTATATTTTGATTCGGGTTTCAGGCCCTCAAGCCAGGAAGGAAGAGTGGCGGCAGGACTGTGCTGTAGAAGCTGTCCACATGATAGCCAATCCAGAAGCAGAGAAGCACAACAGGAAGTAGGTGTCTGTTATAATTTACAAAGGTCAGCCCTTAGTGACTGACTTCCTCCAGGGAGACCTGACCTCTCAAGGGTTCAAAGGCCTCTCAAAATAGCATCACTAGTTGGAGACTAAGTCCTAAAACTTGAGACTTTGGGGACCAAACAGATTATATTAGGAACAAGCATATCCAGTCCACACATTGCTTTCTGGGTTTATCCCAAGGGCTGTTGTGACCCTGTGTATGGACCACATTGTCTACAGGAGCAAGAGGCAATTTGCCCCATGCCCAAGAGCAGGACTACATTTTCCTTAAATTCTATGTCAGCACATGCTCTGCTTCACTTTCTTGAAGCTGTTTAGAAAGGAAGGAAAGTTGTTGTCTAGGCACTCGGGTTTAATTCTCTGTTTCCTTTGTTCTTGTGAGTGTTGCTCTGTGCCCAAGGAAATTCTGCTCTATACTGCCATCATTTTCATTCTCTCCTCTCTCTCCAAGAAATGCAAGAAAAATAACTGTCACCTTTTTGCATATATAAATTTTAACAGCCCATACATGTCAGCTAATCTTTTGGGTGTATGCCTAGCCTCTCAGAAGAGAAAGTGGGAGGTACCCTTGAACGAATTGGTACAGGAGACCGCTTCCTGAACATAACTCCAGTAGCACAGACACTAAGATCGACGATTAATAAATGGGACCTCCTGAAACTGAGAAGCTTCTGTAAGGCAAAGGACACAGTCAGCAGGACAAAAAGGCAACCCACAGATTGGGAAAAGATATTCACTAACCCTACATCTGACAGAGGGCTTATAGCCAAAATTTACAGAGAACTCAAGAAGTAAGTCTCCAAAACACCAAAGGATCCAATCGAAAAATGGGGTACAGAACTAAATAGAGAATTATCAATAGGGGAGACTAAAATGGCTGAGAGACACTTAAGAAAGTGCTCAACATCTCTAGCTATCCGGGAAATGCAAATCAAAAGGGACATATTTTTAAATATTTATTTAAATGCATAAAGACAGCAAAGTACAGCTGGGAATATGGTTCAGTTGGCAGAGAATTTGGCTAGATGAATTCCTGGGTTCAACACCCTACTCTACATAAATTTGGTGTGGTGGTGAACACCAGTCATCCTAGGAGGTGGAGGCAGGAGGATCAGAAGTTCAAGGTCATTCTGGAGTCTGGGGCCAGCCTGGACTACAAGAGACCCTGGAACAATAGAACAAAAGAAGCCCTGAGACAGATCAAATATTGGTGTGCAATTGCAGCTTGAAGTGAAGATTGATGTCACTAAATAGAGAGCCTGTGAGGCAGGGAAGGCACTCAGAGAAAAGAGACATAGGCATGTAAGAGGCAGAAGGAGGCAATATTGACCACCCTGGCCTGAAGACTGAGCCTGGTAGGTATTATGTAAGGTACTTTGGCAAACTCAAACTCACATGACTGTCACACTTCCTATCCTTCCGCCCATGGGAGACAGCATTCATCAATCCCAGCCCACACCTTTCCAACCAACTTGAGATGAGATCTGCTTTCCATCCCTGGTGTAGGAGTGCCAAGATAAGTGAGGTAGAGCTGTGAAAACCTTGTTGACTAGTTTGTAGCTAATTGGATAGGCAATGGGGAGCCATTAAAGTCTTGTAAGCATGGAAGTGACATGGTGGGAAATGAGAGCTTGTAGTTCAGGGTAATTAACTTGGCAGTGCTATCTAGAATGAATGGATTCGAGTGGTTAAAAGACTGGAGGCCAGTTATTGGGAAGGTTACTGTGATGGTTTGGGGGAGCAATAATGTCTGATATTGAATGGATACAAAAAAAGGGGGTACAGAGTTGAAAGAACATTGGAATGAGGACAGTTGCAAACTGTAGTGTGAGAGGTCTCTAAATAAACTCTGAGGCTTTCTTTAACTACCTTAGCACAGAAGAAAGCAGTGTCACCATCGCATCAGGAGGGGAGCCTGTGATTGGAGAGGAGGTCCTGGACTCCTGGGGGAGGAGAAGAAACAGTAAAGCAAAGCATGGATTTAGACTTATCTCTTCTGCAGAGAGTAGCTTTTCTGAGCAAAAGCCTATCAGAGAACAGAGTATAAGGAAAAACAATCCCTTTAAAGCAAACATTGTTGCCCTTTGTCAATGAGCAGGGTCTAAAGGAGGCTCCTGTCTCTCCAAATATTTGGGAAACTGGAATGTCTTAATTAGTTATCAGAAAGGGACACCAGGAAACGAAAGAATATAAACCCAATCACTATGTTCTTCCAGTTTCAAATGCTTCCACAATCTAGGTGATTTACACTCTAGTAACAGTGATTGACAGCCAAGAATGTGTCTAGCTCATTTTTATTTTTCCCCTGGGGGACAGCACTTGAGTTCCTGATTGTTTCCATTTGCAGAAGCAGTAACTGTGTTGAGTTAGGAGAAATTTGCCTCCACCTACTATGGGATCTTTCTCTGAAGGGAGCAGAGTCAATGTCAATGTTTCTTTTTGTTTTGAAACAGTGTTTCACTATGCTGCCGTGGCTAGCCTGGAACTCACTATGGAGACCAGTCTTGCCATAAACTCATAGAGTTTATGGCATTTATCGTAATAGAAGAATGCCAGCAGGATCTCCCTGCCCTTTCTTTTCTGGAAGATGTTTCTCGAGTAACCTATTTCAGTTGGTTAAAGGAGAACCATAAAGGAACCAATTGAATAACCAGAATCTAAAGCCACCCCTTTGCTACACCAGCATAATTCATTACCACATTCTAAATTTTATCCTTGTACCAACAGATAACTGTAGCTGGTGCAGGCTTCCTCACAGAAACTTCTCACAGCAACTGGAAACCTACATAGAAAACTGGACATAAAGCAGAGATCAGCTGATCATGGGGAGGCCAGCCCCAGTGGGTATCTCTACATCACAGCTCCGGTATCCATAGCTCAGAGAACATGGCAACATTACGGAAGAGGTGGCAGAAAGAAGAGCAGGAAGTCTGCTGTGAAGCAGTCTCTCTTAGAAATGGCTAAACAAGACCAGAAAATAGCAGTATCAATGGACACGCTAATGTGGAAGGGATTCCATTTATTGACTTCTGGAAAAAGCCTCTTCAGGGATGAGCCCCCTAATTGGTTGTCTGATGCAGAGTGGTCAGCAAAAATGGACTCATCAGGTTCTATTTATTTGTGCATACACACGTGCATATATATGCAACAAATATAATCAAAGATTAAATAAAGGCTGTCAACTTGGGAGGGAAGGTAACTATGAGGAGCTGGAGTAAGGACATGGACCGGAGAGTGACGTAATTCCATTTCAAGTTAAAATTTAAAAATTAAAATCAGTATTGTAAAACAACCAGCAGATATATTTCCAGACTGTCTGTCCCAGAGGAAGTTGTCCATTAAGCTGTGTACTTTGAAGCATTTGTTTACTTAGTAAAGTCAAATGTGACCACGCTAGATCAGTTGCTAAAAGAATATCAGCAACAGGCTAACCAATAGTAAATTCTGAGAGTGAAGGCTGCTCAGAAAATCTGCTTTGGTGTCTGGGGAAGCCACACATCTGATTTGAGAGAGACAATTATAGCATTGTGTCCAGGCACCAATGAACAAGCTAACACTATAGATCCTTGCAGCCCAGATGAAGGTGTCAGAACCCTTCACATCCCATCTAGATTAGCTGGAGAATAGACCAAGGGACCACAGCTGGGCTGAGGGATAAATAGTCCATGGCAAAGATCACCCTGAGTGTTAAACCAATCAACACAACTAATCAATAACAACTTGCAGGGTATGTGGTGGGGGTGGTGGGGGAGGTGGTTCTTAAGCTATTTACATTTATCTTTCTCTTTTTTAAAAAAGCATTTTTCAAAATCAAAAAATCAGCAAAAGGACAATGTTCCCCAGTTCTCCCTCCCCCCAGCCACCCCCCGAAACACACATATTTTTGCCACCTTCTGGTACATAATAATATTTGCGTTGTCAAATTTTTCATGCTTTCTGGAAGGAAGGTGGAGGGTGTAAAAATGGGCTTATTTTGTCTGTGTCTTTGGAAATAAAGGGAAAAGGTGGCTTCACTATTGAGGCAGAGAGGTCAGCTTTCCATATTCGGATATTCACTAGTCATCCCATTAGCACTGGTACTTTGTACTTGGGTTTGGGGTGGAGGCCCACAGATTTAATTCTCAGCTTTCTTTGAGTATCAGCTAGTAGATGGGTGAGCTCCAAGGGAAGGGAAGCGCAGAATCATGCCTTATAAAGATAAGACTCGTTAATTATCTGGATTTTTTATTATCCAGACGTTATTAATACCTCTCCAGGATGTCTGTCTGCTATGGATGAGCCTGTGCATTTAATATCAAAAGTACCAGTGGGAATAGAAAACTAGCAGGCACAGCAGAGTTCACATGCAGCTAGGCCTGTTTCATCGGCTCAGAGAGTCCTTCACCAAACTGGCCAAAGTTTGCTTCACAAAATAGTGCACTGACAAATTGTTTTTGGATCCTTCACGGAGAAAAACTGCAAAAGAGTTAGAAGAGACCCTCTTTCCATAACATTAGTTACTGGCTGGCCATATGCATCCTACAATCACGAAATTTATTTTAGACCCTAAGACTGGAAACACCAGACTGTCCCATTCCAAAGTAAAAGGCGCCGCGTTCCTAGACCCACCTTCCTCCTTCGAGGGGGTGTAAGCTTCTAATTCCCTTTTAGTTTTCCCCCAACCTTGGACCAGGCTTGCAGTCAGCTCCAGTTACCAGCAAGTGCCCCAACGCGGATAACCGGATTTGTCTCCTCCTCCCAAGCTGGTAGGGGACACCGAGTTACTGCCCCCGAGGGAATCTCAAAAAGTAGACAGAGCCACACGTCGCCACCGTTCATTTCTGTCGCTGGTTTAAAGAAGAGAGGGAGGATCGGGGCGCAGGAGACACCCCCTCTTTCTCCTCCCTCTCTCTTCCCCACCTCCCAAATTTGGCAGCCTTGTGTGGCTCCCGGTCTGGGGTCTGGAGGGTGTGGAGTGTGGGTGCGGGGGCCGGCTGGAGACGCTCTCGCTAGCGCTGCCTGTGGCCAGACCCGCCTCGCGTCCCCTCTCGGCCGCTCACGTCCACCGCCACTCGCGCTCGCTCGCGCTCTCGCCTGGCTGGGTCCCTCCTGCTCTCGCCCGTCTCCTTTTCATTTTTTTTTTTTTTTTTTTTTTTGGTACCATAGAGTCGCTCTGAAAACAGAAGATAGAGGGAGTCTCGGAGCTCGCCATCTCCGCCGATCTCTACATTGGGAAAAAAAACATGGAGTCAGCTCCGGCAGCCCCCGACCCCGCCGCCAGCGAGCCGGGCAGCAGCGGCTCGGAGGCGGCCGCTAGCTCCAGGGAGACCCCGCTGACCCAGGACGCGGGCCGCAAGAGCGAGGCGCCGGGCGCGGGTCGCAGGCAGAGCTACGCGAGCTCCAGCCGAGGTAGGAGACGCTGCGACCGGGCTCCTGGCAGGGGGGCGGCGGGAGCAGTGCGCCGAGCCCGGAGGGGACCGGGTGCCCCGGGGGAGCGCGCGCTCGGGGGAGCAGGCGAGACGCGGGGTCCCTGGGACCGTTGCGCGCGCGCGCGAGCCTGTCGAGGTGCCCTGAGCGGCCGGCACCCCCGCCCCTCCCCCCGCGGCCCCCCACAAATGTTGCAAACTTTTGCAAGCCAGTGCTGGGCTTGCAGAAGAGGGCGAGGGGGGACGGGGACGGACCAGAGCGTTGACAGTCAGGCGACTCCAACACCATGTCCCCCTTGATTGCATGTTTTATTTTCTGCAAAGACGAGCTGTCCAAATTAAATACAATCTCCCCCCCACCACAAAGAAACCAAGACGGGGGAATGGGGGAAAGAAACTTTTAAAGCGGTAGTGTCCTTTTAAGAAGGGGGATGGGGTCTGTTTGTGGCTACTAGCTTCCACAGTTACCTTTTCTGATCTTGACAGTTTCTCACATACGCTCCCCCAACCCCCCGTAGCCGGAGTCGCGGCGGGTGTTCGAGTCCTTCCTCTCCCGTGAAAGGTTAGGGGCTCAAGAGGAGCAAGAGACCTAGAAGTCTCTAGGGACGGAAAGGGGGCGCTCCCGGGGCTAAGAGGGGGCGACGCGGGCAGCTTCTTCTCTGGAGCTCTGGAGGTGGGTTTGGAGGAGTCAGGGTCCCGGTGCGCGGGATGCCATGGAGTTGCCCCTCCAGCGTGGCAAGGGGAAGAAGCGCAACTTTGTAGCCGGGGGTTCGGAGACCAGAGCCCTGGAAGAGGCTGGCAGGGGGCGTGTGCAGCGCGCGGAGGGAGGGCGGCAGTGGAGTGGGGGCGCTTCACGCGGGATCGGAGGGAGAGGCTGTGACAGCAAACAAACGCAGAGACAACGCTGAGAAAAGCACCCAAACTTATTTCTGCTCTGGGAATTCTCCCCTCGCCGCGATGCCCAGCGTTTCTGCGGGAACCTGGGGATGATCAGAGTTGAGTGCTCGTGGGCCTGGGCTAAGGAGTCTGCCCTCGCTGGGTCATTGGTTCATTTCGTGTTGGTGTCTGGAGTGTGTGAAGGAGGGGACCGGGGAGACGAGGGTGCTTGTTCCCCTCTTGCCCTTTTCTTAAAGTGGCCTGATCTGGAAAGCGGACTCCTTTCTTAAAGGTGTCAGAACCTGCTGTGGGATTTCCCCACCTCCTCCTTCGGGGGTGGGGGATTATTTATTTGATGCTCCGGGAGTTTGCAAAGAGCAGAAGGAAGCTGCAGCTTTAATTACTGTTGTAAATAATGTATAAATCACGCCTGTCACTCCGGAGGAAGTGGGCTCCTGCGAGCCACCGCGGGGCTTGGGACCTAGAGGTTCTCTCCAGCCAGGATCTGGTGCCTAGGGGGATTGGGGGAAGGCAAAGGAGGGATTCAGAGCCGCTCCCTTGCTCTCCGATGTGCTTGCTAGCTAGCTGGAGGTAGGAACATGGCTGATCATGTGCTGGCTGTTTTACAGTATTCCCCCCTCCCGCCCCACCTTAGCCACACCCCCTGTCCGGGCGCTTTCCCATTCACGGAATTCGAGTACAGTAAAAGCCATCAGGATGACATATGCTGGGGGGGGGGGGCATTTAATTAAAGCGATTTCCGAAGAGTGACTGCGCTGAGGCTTGGTTTGAACCGGAGGAACGGGGCCGGCAAGGAACGGGATGAATAGAAAAGGGTTGAAGACTTGAGGTGGGGGGCGGCCGCGACCGGCCACCAGCTCCGAGAGTTTGTGTGCAGAGCTTTTGGCTGCAAAGAGTCTATTTAGAGCCGGAGATTTGGAATGCAAGCGGGTTATGTAACAGGGTTAATCAGAAACGCTGGAGAAAATCCCCTTCATGTGTTTGGAGGCTTTTTTTTTCTAGAAGGGGTGCAGGGTGTCTAGGAAGCAGCTCTAATTTCTGGCTTGCACCTTTCCTCTTCCTTTAGCCCCTCCCCATCTCCCCTGCTTTATTAACATCTTCAGGTGTCATTCCTGCCAGAAGGTGTGTTCTTACAATAGATGGGGTGGCAGGCTGCAGAACCGACTACAAATCTGTAACTTGCTGTTACTGCAAATTATAGAAAGCCGGGGAATTTGGTACCCCCCGCCCCAAAAAGCTCCAAGGAACCAAAATAGGAGCAGTGTGCCTCTACCAGGATGACCTGCTGACCCATATCCCTTTACCCCCCAAGAGCCCCAACCGTGTTCTTTGAAGAAAAAAAAAAAACCTAAAAATCCCTGTCTGTTTCTCCAAGGAGATTTATTGGGAAGAGGGAAGTAAGGCCCAGACACTCCACTCACATCCTGCACGCAGGCACTAGGTTACATAACAGTCTGAATGGAAAAAAGGAAGGTCAGACATGGAGGCATCCTTTAGCCAACACGGCAGTAGTAATATCTTCCAGGAATTACTTGCAGTTGCAGACCTTGACCTCAGATGTATCGTCTACTTCTCAGAGGTGCCAACCTTGGTGTGTGTGTGTGTGTGTGAGAGAGAGAGAGAGAGAGAGAGAGAGAGAGAGAGAGAGAGAGAGAGAGAGAGAGAGAGAGAGAGAGAGAGAAAGCGAGCACCCGGGAGAAAAGGAGAGACTACTGTGTAAGTATGCTGGGTAGTTGAGAGTGATGTGCAAATGGGAAATGTTTGGGTTTTTAGATGATGTAATGGACTTGGCAGAATATGCAACTCGGCTCCCGGAGTGTAAGCATAAGAAAATTGGAGCTGGCATCCCATATTAATGTTGCATAAATTACAATATCAGAAAGAAATTAACCTACACACTAGGTGATTATGCCTCTTAAATACTTAAAACATAAAGGCACGGGCTTAAAAGGCAAAGCAAACATCACCACCCCGCAATTAGCCCCTTCTACCTCAGAAGGGTTAGTGAAGTTCCCCATGGAAGGGAAGCTTTCTGACTTGAGAGGTGTTTTCCTCTGGGTCTTGGGTGCTTGTTCTCAGCCAGCCAGCAGATGCTTGGAGCCTATAGAAATTGCGGGTATATTCCCATGACATTGATGTGACCTCACGGGATATTGCCTAGGTAGATTTGAAGCTGTTGTTAAATTCCTATGTCCTGGGAATCTAAGTATGAACGGATTAGAGGCCTTCAGTGCCTGGGCTTTCAAAATCAGATATGTGGTTTTATAATCTGGAAGTTGATCTCCCTGTGTTCCTTCTAACTCCAAGGGAATGGTAGTGGTCTTAATGAAACCCTTGCATTTTTAGGAAGTATTAATGATGGCTGGTGCCATTCAGCTCCATCTTTCCTGGGAAAGTGGTGGAAGAGAATAAAAAACAGGCAAGAAGCAACATGGCAAGTTAAAAAAAAACATACTGTGAATCTTTAATTTAACAAGGCTTTTGGGGACTTTTAGGGAACTGTGAGCATTGTGGCATAACTGGTTTTAGAAACTCTTTCCCAGAATCTCCAAATTATATGCATGCCAGAAGCTTACATACTGTACTACACTAAAAGCTACCCTCTCAGGACTGTGTACCATGGCCTGGGCTCGCAATGCTGGTGCGCAAAGCTTTTAGGGCAGGCCAACCTAAGAGAAAAATGGAAACCAAAGGATGGGGTGAATCCTGCGAAGCTGGGTGGGAGTGAGGAACAACCCCCTGGAAGGTCCGCTGAATATGACTTAAATCAAGTAACAGGGCCTCATGGCTCTGCAACCTAGAGGAATGCTGGAACTGTGTAACCTTCCACGTTGGAAGTGTACCTGCTCCCTTCTCACCAGTCCCTGCTGATTCACTTTCTAGAAGGTTCTCTTACCTGGCAGTGTGGCATCTTTTCTAGAGGTGAATTTTCAGGTTACCTTTGCTGGCATGGTCCCTGCCCTCTATAGGGAATAAATGATAGTTTCCCTGGCTGGGAGGAAAATCCTTTCCCAGAGGAATGGGATGATTTCGTTTTAACTAAGGGACTGTAATTTTCTGGTAAATTGCTCATAAAAACATTTATAATTATACCTTTAAAATGCAATGGGATAATTTTAGAAAATACATTTTATGATAGTTAGGATAACCTTTCTGTTGCTTCATCCTAATTTCTTATAAAGAATTGAATTATTAATCTAGAATTTAAGTCCTAAGTGGCTAAAACACTTACAGCACACCCTTGCTCTGTTTGCCAAAATCCATTGGCATTGCACTGAGCTCTGGGCTTTAGAAAACGTCTCTTTTTTTTCTGACTCTGAAGTGTGGCTCATGCCTGTCCAGGAGCTGGGCTCTGACAACACTTCTGTGACTGTTCAGGGCACATGGCCCCCGGGGGTGGTGGGTGGGTGAGTGGGGCCTACACAGCTCCTTGATGTCAGACAGACTCTGAACATGGGATGGAGAGGTGGAGACAGCTTAATCACTTTTGGAAACAAAGTAACCTATGTCTAAATTTAACCCTTAGAATGCAAGTCAGCAAGGGTCATCTTCAGGTCAATGTCAGACAGAGGGGCGCACATTTTCTTCTTCTCTGATGTCCCCATTTTGCATTTAGGAATTTGTGATGTGACATTGGGAAGACTCATTGAGTATAGTCACATAACATGAACCCACTTTTAAAAATATTACTGTGTGTGTGCATGAATGTGTGTGCATGTGGGTCACGGGTCAATCAGCGTCAGGTGTCTTCTTAAATTGCCCTCTACTTTAGTTTTTGAGATAGGGTCTTTCACTGGACTTAAAGTTCAATGATTCAGCCTCCCCAGTGATGGGATTACAGGTCTGTGCTTCCACACCTGCATTTTGTATGTGGGTTCTGGACACTTTACCAACTGAGCTGGCTCCCCAGCCCCCATGTCCTGAGGATTTTTACAGTATATGTTACTTTTTTAGAGTTCTCCTTTTCCTATGCATCTCCCCACTCTGATCTCCATTTTCCTTCTTAGCTTCAGTGGGAACTCCTGAGTGTCGGGAGGCAAAATACAAAACTTCATCTTAGAGGTGCTTGTGTGTGTGTGTGTGTGTGTGTGTGTGTGTGTGTATGCAAGTGCAGAACTGTGAGTGTACATGTGTATGTGTGTTTATTATGTTCTAATATGACATTCGCTGCCCCTCAATCTCTGTGTCACCATTGAGATAATGAGCAGGTCTCTGAAATAGGTGTCTTCCACTCCCTAATGGAGATCCCTGACCCAACCTTCAGGATGAGTTATAACTTCTCCTAGAGCAAGGAGTCATTTGAAAGGGCTTCGGCTACCAGGGCTTACACTAACCTAGAATATAGAATATATTTCACAGTTCCAAAAATCTCCCTCGCTCTGGATTTGGGCTGGTGGCCCCCTTCCACTTCCCTCCCTCTGTCTCTCCCTCATTCTCTCTCTCTCTCATATTTATTTTATGCCTAATTCATCATGGGAAATATTGGTTAGAATTAAGCTGTTAAAACTTTTCAACTATGTTTTAGACTATGTATTAATATAATTGTGTAATTTTTGGTTTAATGCTTAAACGTAACCCAGATGATCAGTGTCCAAGTCTTGGCTGTTGTATAATCAATCATGGTTTTTCTCATGGTGTTGATAATGAATTTTTTTGTTTTGTTTTGTTTTTGTCTGACACTAGATTAATCCCATGTGGATTTTTTGTTTTTGTTTTTTGTCTTTTCTTTTTTGAGTAAGTTGTTTAGCTGTATGGTTCCCTCTCCTGGCCTAGAGAGCACATCAGACAGGAAATTGAATCTCTTTTTGGAGTTTCAGAGCCTCGAGGTGCTGTGGGGTCATGGTTCTGAGCATGAATTCTTATTGTACATTGCAGAACTGAAAATGAGGAGACTGTCCAACATCTGTCGTGAGTCTTGATCCCACCTGGAAAGTGTTTTTATTTGTTTGTTTTTGTTTTCCTGTGAAATCCTCAGCAGGACTGTTTGCTTTCTTGTTACCTGTGTTGCAAGCAGCAAGTCAGAAATTCAATTATTTGTTCCGAGTTAGTGGAGGTCTTTATTTTATAGGAAATTGTCAGGCAGAATCTAAAATCTGTTTGTTTGTTTGTTTGTTTGTTTGTTTGCTTATTATTTGTTTGCTTATTTGGGACAGGGTCTCAGGGTGATCCTCCTGTCTCAGCTTCCTGAGTGGTTGGATTACGGTTGTCCGCTAAAGTCTTATCTCTTCCCATGGAATAGTGGTTCTCACCCTTCCTAATAGTGCTAAACTTTAATACAGTTCCTCATGTTGTGGTGATCCCAACCATAAAGTTCTTTTCTGGTATGAACATTAATGTAAATATCTGATATGAAGGAGATCTGACATGCAGGACAAAGGGGCCCAGACCCATAGACTGAGAACCACTGCTCTAGAATTATAGAAGATGCAAAACCCTGAAATATCCAGGGAGGCAATCCTGTTCGCAAGTCCTGTAATGTGGCTTCCTCTCATGTAATAGGGATGGATATCCACTAACTTCCTTTGGAGACATTGGGAGCATCTCTTTGGTAGGGGTCTCATGCACTTGGAAAGTTAGGAAGCTTCAGGGTTCAGGCTTGTAGGAAAGAACATTTAGAGGCCCCAAGAGAAAGTCCTTTCCAAACTGTAGCTTTTGGGAGGCATTTTTAAACCACAGAGATGGCTTCCTCAGCACCATCACACTTGACTTAATGTTAGTCATTGATAATTTTCTGCTGCCTCTGTTGTATCTGTTTGAATTCTTGGTGCTATGATAGCCTATCATCATCATCATCAATGGACTATTTTTTGTAAAGGCATCAAGGGGATTGTTTAAGGAAGTTATTGTGATAGAAGCAGTGGGAATAATGAAGAATGAAGGCCCCACAGCTTACTGTAGGAAGACTGGCTTTCGGCTCCAGCTCTTCCATGCTAATGCTGAAATGAATTACAGGGAACAATCCCCTGTTGAGGGAGGAACAGTTCCTCCTCCCAAAATATTTTTATGGCTTTCATGACATGACATTATTATAAATTGTGTCGCCATGTCATATGAGATGATGCATTAATGATAGCAGAGGCATTTTGATTTCCTAGGGTTTATCTACAAAACCTGGTTCCTGGTGGCTGGCTGGGGAGCCCTGTACTCTTGGAACTCAGAGTTTCCCACACCTTCAAAGATGGAGAAGGACCCTGAGCTATCTCAGGGTAAATTTCTATCCATTTTATCCTGAATCTTCCACTGGAGGCTGGGAGTGAGACAGAAGCTTCGTGATACAGAGGCTGTGTTTCTTCTCTGGTGGATTCATCTTAGCTATGTCATTAGGCGTTGGCACTTGTGACACAAATTGCCTTAAACTGTTCTGAAGTAAGAAAGACGTTTCTACATGTGGGCATTGGTCACAGTAGATGAAGTCTTCTGAGATACAAGGAAAGGGCACCACTTAGTGTTAGATCCTTAAGCCTGTAAAAGAGGTATGCACTGTTAAAAATACCTAGCTTACTTCGGGGGAGGATTTGACTGAATACTGATGGAGTTTATGAAATATGAATATAGTGAGTCGCTGTACGTAAGTGGTAGGCGTGTGTGAAAGAAGAAGAAATAAAATTGTGTATAAATGACACTCTGAAACTTGATGGAATTGCACACGTGACAGGAATGGTGACGTGTGGGTCTGTGCTTTACAGAGGGAAAGAGAAACAGGCTGAAAAATCCATCTGTCAAACTTGATATGGGACTAGAAATTATAAAATAGAAAAATCAGTTGACTTGGATTATAGGCAAAGAACATCACCAAGGATAAAAAAGGAGCTTGAAAGAATTGAAATGAAATTTCCAGAAAAGTAGTGGGGGCAAAAATCCCAGAGGCCAATGTTGGAATACAGGATGAGGTACACTAAATACCATCTTTAGCATTCTGGGCTATTAACTCTTGTGGTGTTGGGCTTAGAGCCAAACCAAAGACACAACTATGAATTTCCAGTTGTGTAAAAGAAATCACCTTGATCTCCCCCAAGCCTAAATATATGTAGCAGGGCCTGTAGCTGCACACCATGCCATTTCCCCTGCCTTGTTCTGATTGATTGACAGCCTATACTATATGCTTCTTTCCTGAAGGTGATTTTACAGTCTCTAAGCACAGACATGTCTCGCCGAAGTGAAGGAACGAGAATCCACAAGCTAAAGTGTGTTTCACTGGGTGAGATATTTTGGTGGGTGGGAAAAGAATGGAGAACTAGGGGAGGGAATCGTTTAAAAAGAGGTTTAGATGCCCTTCTGAGGCTGGGAATTGGAGGCTGTGGATGAAGGCAGGGACAGAGACGCTGCATGGTGAAGAAGTAAGTTGGCATTGACTGTGAAATTTTAAATTATCTTTAACAAGGACAATGAAAAGAGGCATGCTGAAACGTTGAGAAGTTATGACGAACTTGTCGAGAATGCCAATTCACAAAGGCAGGTATGGGAATACTCAGAAAACCAGGCAGCTTTTGAGTGCCAGTCTGAAGGGCAGAGAGAGCGGCTTCCTGGTGCGTTGAGGGAATTGGTGGGTGTGCTTATTGACTCTTCCAATTAGTTTTAAAGCAATCTGAAGAAATGGACAAAGACGGAGAAAAGGCAGCCAGATGTGATCCTGAACTTCCAGAAGCAGAGTGCCTCTGTCATCCCTTAGGAGCCGTGGCAGTTGCAGACAGGAATAAGCCAGTGGAAATGAGTGGATCTTGAAACACCCAGTCACAGAGGAAACACGCATGCTTATCAGGCCTGAGACCGCTTAAATAAACTGCATCTCTTTTCATTTCCAGTTTCCAGTTGGGGAACCAGAGGATGGTGAACAGGTTATGATACAGTTTGTGCTCTGCAGGGACACTGGTGTGCTAAGGATGTTCTCTCTAAAAGTGTAGGGCAGCTGGGAGGGCGAACTGCCCATAACTCTCAAACGTCCAGGTAATGAAGTATCGGGAAAAGCTAAGCCAGATGGAATAATTTGATCATCAAAAATGATTCCCTTGTTGGTGCTTGGAGTGGGCTGACTGATGTGACAAGTATGGAGTTGCTAATTTACCTTACCTCACTTTTGTTTCTCTCTCGCAATTGGGGCGAGCATGCATGGTCAGAATGTGTGAGCCTCAGCTGTGTGCAGAACCCGAGCCCTTAACCCACATAGTATAACATTTCACAGTGTCCAAGGTGACAGCCGGAGATGGGGCGAGTTCAGTGAGATTTCTCAAGACCTCACAGAACCACTCTGAGAAGGGAAGCATTGCTGAAGGACTTCCCGGGCCTTCTGAAGTGTGCCTTTGGACCTGGCTGTGGGGCTATCCATTAGGCACAGATGCACGTTCCTCATGCTGCCACTACCCCTGTTTCGTTAGGCAAAATGTTAGGGTGAGAAGGTATCCGGAGAACTCGCTAGCCCAGATCCGCCCCGACAGTGAAGCTGATGCACCTACAAGCCTGTGATGTGTCTGGGAGTACGTTCCCAGGCAACAGTTGGGATGTGACTACAGTGTAGATCTTCTGCTCATTCATCTCATGCCCTTCCCACTTTTGTACAGATCCTCAAAAGATCCTGGAAAAAATGAATACCAAGTCCCTACACTCCAGGAAAATAACCCTGAGGACATTTAGATGTATACAACATGGTCATCTAGCTCAGTATGAGTTATGTGAACCACACGTCTGTAGTGGGGTAGGTCATATTTTTAATCTCCCTGGGCACTTTTATTATTAATTAAAATAGGTATTTATCATATTATTTATAAAAATATATTTATTATAATTAAAGTACACAGTGCCTCGGTCTCATGTTCTGACTCCATGGAAAGTCAAGTATGGGGCATAGAGTTGAGCGCCTGCTACTGAGAACCCACAGCCAGGCCCACGATGAGCAGTATTTCTGACTAGCCAGGTTCTTCCTGAGGGCTGAGGCTCAGGCTGTGCTCTTGATAGAGCTCCTTTCAAGACCACATCTGCAAGTAGAATACTACAAGACCATAAAATAAAAAAACAGTCACCACAGTAGAAAATTATTTCTCTTTTAAAAAAATTATTGATGTGTTTATTTATTTAACCCCTAGAGTTCAGTTGGTGCTGTTCATAGGCACATGGGCCTGGGCAACCTTTCAATGGCCATTCTCCTAAGGAAAAAAAGACTCATTTGAAAGAGAGAGGGAGTGGGGTAGTGGTACAAGGGAGGGTTTGAAGGGGATAAAGGGGAAGGGGGGAATGACAACCAAATCTTATAATGTCAAAAGAATATTTGAAAAATTAAAGGTGACTCTTCCTCCCCAAGCAGCCATTAGCTGCCAGCAGATGCTCAGCTAGGGCTGGGGCCCTGGGAGTCCCTCCCTGTTTCACGCTGGAAGTTTTGACTGGCTTGATCATGCATGGGTCTTGTGCAGGTAAGCACAGCTGCTGTGAGTTCTTGCGTGCAGCAGCTTTGTCAAGTCTGTAAGATAGCATTTCACAGCATCCTCCCATCCCCTAGCCTTATGTTCTTTCTGCCCCATGTTCCCAGAGCCTTGGCAGGGGTGGGAGTAGGACGTTCTTAACACCGGTAAAGTCTATGATTTGTTTCAAATGAAAAAAATCACATCCTTCGCTACAGTGTACAGAGAATTGTATCTTTTTTTTGTAAAAAGTTACAGTGTGTGCATTCATGTATATATGTACATATGAAATACAGTTGTATCAGTAAATGACCTTGGACCCACAAACTAAAATGAAATAATAAAATGATCATTATAGGTGGTGGGATTATCTGACTTGTTTTTATTTTTCCTTTTCTGAGGTTCCTGAATTATGAATGTATAATTTTTGTAGTAGAAATAAATCTTTTTGTGGTAAAAAAATAATGGTGTGTTGTGAAACTGGGAGTGAATTAGAGGGTCTAGTTCTGAACTCAGTGTCTTACATAGAATTTCATGCTGTTTCTAAAGAGCAAGACCTTTTGATGGTTTCATTCCACATTCAACTTGATTTAGGGGGGCTTCAGATTTGGGAACTCCTTGGCCCCTGAAATATGTACAACCTGATGTGCAATGAAATAAGCAAATTATAAGACAGTTACATGCACACACACACACACACACTCACTCATATGTGTGTGTAGGAATATACATGCACAGATAAGTAGGCATACATATATGTACATGTGTACAGAAAAAAGATTTCACATAAAGCATTTCCATTTATCTGAGCTTCACTGTCTTTTTTGTTTTCTTACTTAAAATATACATCATGGCCCATAGGATTAGCTTTTTTATGCATTTAGGAGATGTTCCTTACAAATGTCAAGAGACTTGTCCTGCATGAGAGCTAGATAGAGACATTCTGGGGCTTTGGCATGGGATGGGAGGGGGGAGGAACTCAAATGGAGCTCCAGGTGCTGCTCATTATGATCTGGAGTAGGACAAATAATGTAAATACTCATTATTATAATCATACCATATCTTGATACCATTTTAAGCATACACTTGTTATTACCCTATTACATGTATGAGTGCATCTGACTTAGACTGGCTGAGAATACAAATTCTGAGATTTCCCCCTGGATGGCTGAGAGCACACACACTTGTGTGAGAGCACAAGGTCACATTTCTTTTATTATATGCATATGAATGTTTTGTCTGCATGTATATCTATGCACCACATGTGTGTCTGGTTTCCAGAGTGAGGCATCAACTCCTCTGGGACTGGAGTTACAGCTGTGAGGTACCTTGTGGGTGCATGGAATTGAACCCAGAACCTCTAAAAAAAACAGTCAATGCTCTTAACTAATGAGCCATTTCCCCAGCCCTGGGGTTGCTTTTCTTTAATTCCACAAATACTTCCTAGGAACTCTGACTGTGTCAGGCACTGTGTTGGACTCTGAAGCAGGCAACAAGGAAGCTGGATTCCTGCCTTGTTGAATGTTCCATTCTGGTGCAGATGCGTCTCGCTGTTACCTCAGACTGGACACTTCAGATGGTTTTCCTACTGGCGTCTCTTACACTTGGCCCGTTTGACCTCTATATCTTAGATGTCTTCCCTCTCCCCTTCTCCACCCCTTTCCCTGCCTTGTGTTCTCAGCTCTTCTTCTCAGACCTTCTATGATCAGTGTAGGGGATCACCCACCTTCTCACCTCTGCAGTCCCCAAGATCCCTGTTTTTTCACAGATTCTGGTTGCGTGGACCAAGGGCTCATTCGGCCATCATGTGACCACTTCTCCCAGTTCCTTAAAAGCCTTATTCATCACCAGTACTATTTCCTTGATGTGAGCCTGTTCTCCATATGACCAGGAGAACAGCTTATTTTTTTTTACCACTTTACAATGTCTTAGATAAAGTAGATCCCTGTTAGCTCTGCAGGTATCCTTTTCCACAATGCCCCAGTTAACCAGCTCAGTGCTCCTCAACTTCCTGCCCATCTTCAGTTTTCTTGTGTTTTGCTAAGGTTTGGTCCCAGTTGCTCTCATTTGTTCCGTGGCTGCCCCTATTGGATGCATTGTTTCCCTCCATCCCATCATCAGGACTAATCCAGTCTTGATCATCTCAGACTGTAATTGCTCACATTTTGAGACTAAGTACGTATACCTGGTTTGTTGTGAGCCTGCTGGAAGTGGATGATGGAGTGAAGGCGGAGGTGTGCCCTGTGCTAACTATGTCCTAGGTAAGTTCGCTAAGTTGGAGACTGGGGAGGTCTGTTTTGCCAGCCTTGCTGGGATGATCTTGTGATATTGCTTGCCGAGTGCCTGCCAGCAGACCGGGGGAATGATGTGTGCCTCTGATGGTGGTGGCGGCCAACACAGTGCTGGCAGGTCCCCTAGCGCCTCTCTCCTTCTCCCACTTGTGTCTTCGGCTCCATTTTCCCTGAAGCATTCACTGCTGGGTTCTGTGGTTCTGTGGTTCTGTGGTTCTGTGGAATGAGCATGGATCCCAGGGGCTTCGGTGGATATCCTGACATCTTCCTTATGCCCGTTCTTTTTCTGGACTGGATCCAGCTCTCATTGCTGGCCCCCCATGAGCTGGATCTGCCAAGAGAGGACACGTGACTAGAGTTGTGCCTCTTTACCTAACCGTTAGCATTCTCCAGTTACCTCCTAGTGAACCACAAGCAAGTCCATGCCTACCTATTTCCTCCCCACACCCCCATTCTTCCCATGGTCCCCACTGGCTTTTTCCCTGCTCCAGGCATCCGGCTGGGATAGTTCCATCTTTCCCACTGGCCACCCTCTGATGCTCTCTGTTGCTTCATAACTCATTAATTCCTCACTCTCCCCTCCCCTTTCCTCACTGTCTCCTTCCTGTCTGCAAGGGTTCCATTCAACTTGTTCTTCTGAAACGTTCCACTCTGTGACTGACTGCTGAGTCTTTAGATTCTAATCTAATCACTTACATGCACTTTGCAAGCGGTGCTCTCAAAGACTCACAACCTGTTTGCAATCATGTTACAGTAGCACAGTTGATGAGCAAGCAGCATGAAAAAGAGTGATGGGCACCACAGTGACACTGGGTAAACCCAGGAAAGCAATCTTAACAGGAGCAGGAGGTGTGCCCGAGGATTATAGTATCTTTTCTTGGAGAATCAATTTCAATTGCCAAGGGTCTTTTATTGATTTTGCTTGTAATTGGACTAGGATAGGTCAAAGGGCAGAGGAGACAGAGGCATAGTGTGCTCCAGGAAGTGGATGGGGAGAAGAATCCCATCTTTCTGCCAGGACGGTTTGGGCTTGATACACGGTGTGACTTTTACAGAATTAACTGGCACTATAATTAGGTGGTTTTATTTCTTCATTCAAACATGTTGGAAGCTGATTCTAATATTCAGTGGTAATGAAAATAGAGTAATGCTGTAATAACTGTTCCATTGTAAAGCGAATTACACCGTTAACCATCTATTTTGTCTAATTTGTGTTGGTGATAGTGCGGGATCATAACACACAGCACATTCAAGCAAGTGAGCACGTGCGTGTGCACACATAAACATACTCAGAGTAGCTGATATTTAAGAAACCGTAGCTAAAAGAAGTCTTATTCTTATGATATAGTCAGGAAACAAAAATAAAATGTTGTATATATGTATATATTACCACATTATATTATATACATATATATATATACATACACATTCAGGCACACAAACGTGATATATATATATATATGTGTGTTTATATACAAATACCTATAGGAGCATGCATACACACATATGTGTCAAGCAGATTGAGAAGACGGTAGATAGTACTGGCATGAAATACTTGGTTGTATTGCTTTTAGCAAACCTGAGCCAGGCCAGATGATCTGTTACTGCAGGTTAAGCTAGTAATGGCACCAGCCCCTTCATTCCTTATTGTCACATTGGAGAACTTTGATTTCCTGAGATTCTCCATTTGAAAATGAGGCATCCCAGAGCTCAAGAATGTTGGTCATTTTCCTTTGTCATCTGTCCCCCAAGGAAAGTGCCACAATTTTCATAGCACAAAGATAGAAGCATATTTTTGTGCATTAAGTCATAGCCAAACCCTGAGAGCAGAAATAGGATCTAGGGAGACAGAATTCAATATGACTTCCCCATTGGGACATGTCAATTAAAGAGCCTAAGTGAGTAGGTTCTTGTGACTGTGTCCCTTAGTCCTAGTGGCCTGGCTTTGCTAGTGGGGCTTTACCAGTGTGCATGGGAGTAAACATGGTTCCTATCCCTAGGTTGGTGTCTCTAGAGAGGTCTTAAAACTTTCCTGGTCTATGTGTACTCCGGGTTGCTGTCACCAAAGCTTCCATTTCTCAATTCTAAGGGACCCAGAAGTTCTGGGACACTATGCCCAGGGGCATGGAGAAATCTCTCACTGCCCTCACTCTGGGGTTCTGCTTTGGCAGCGCCGTCAGGTCTGCCCCCGGCTAATCTGGCATCCCAGAAAGACCTTACCTGGGGAACTGAGATTTTTATTTAGTTTAGGACACACTTAACTTTCCTAGATAGAATGCTTGCTCTCATGACCAAATTATCGGAAGCAAATTTGCTTCATAAACAACTGCACAGTGCCTGTATCTGAAATCAACAATGTTGATTTTAAACTCCTGGAGGATTCAAATCAGAAGGAAGACAGCATCAATGTCTGGCATCTGGATTAAGAATATAGTTAGTGGAGAAATGTATTGCAATCCTCCTTGAAAAAATATCAATATCATCTTGTGCCTAATAAAATGTTATAATGAAAATTACCACAGAGCTTGACAACATCTCTTTATTAATTGGCCTTTTCCATGATTATTTTCCTAGTAGCAAATGCACTCTGCTTTGCTGGCTCATTAGTTATAGTCCACAGTGAATTCGCAGTTTGTTGCTTCAGCCATGCTTATTTTCCCGTTGGGCTCAGTCCCTCAGGGACAAGGGTTGTAGATTTTCTCCAGTATATATGGTCTCATATCTCTGTGTTGTTCACTTCTGTCCTCATTGAGCATCCTCTGGATGCCAGCAACCAAACTGCAGATCAATCTGTGAAGTCCAGCTGATGGAAACTTAGGTAGGCTATGCTGGAGACGAGAAGCCTAGCTCTGGGCAGCTTTCTTTCTTTCTTTCTTTCTTTCTTTCTTTCTTTCTTTCTTCCTTCCTTCCTTCCTTCCTTCCTTCCTTCCTTTCTTTCTTTCTTTCTTTCTTTCTTTCTTTCTTTCTTTCTTTCTTTCTTTCTTTCTTTCTTTCTTTCTCTTTTTGCCAAGGAGCTCGGAAGATTGAATCTTTATTACTAAGTGGTCTAGGGTCCAAATGCATATGACTGACTCGGAAGTTGTAGGACTTGTGTGATCAAGAAAGGGGGGGCGGTTAAAATCCTGAAGGTGTAGGGCCTGTGAAGATGGCTCAGCGAGTTAAAGGTTCACTTCATGAGGAACAACAGAGCTCTGATCCCAGCAGCTCTGTAAAACCTGTGGCAGTGGCTGCCTGAAATTCCCAAGCTCTCTGGCCAGCCCATTTAAATGAAATCATTGAGCTCCAGGTTCAGGAGAGATGTCTCAAAAACAAAATTAGATGGAGATGGATAGAAGAGAACATCTGACACCAGCTCCTGACCTCTGCACCTGCACACAGTCAGCACACAAAACAAAAACCGGAGTTTCTTCTATGTACTTGGAAACAGCCAGGATGTCTGTAAAGCCAGTGTCACAGTCAAGTTGCCTTTGAGTTTCTTCTGCTTCCACGGTGATCCCTTCCTGATGCCTAGTTGATGAGTGAGGATTGGCTGCTCCCCCCCCCCCCACACACACACCTCCTTAGACAGCCCAGCATTGATTTATCCTGTCTCTACAGGGAATCTGCCTTGCTTTGGCAGAGCCTCAAGGATGGAAAGTGGGATGAATAGCAGCTTTGCAGAGGTCTCTGTGCTGCCTGGGGAGAATGGCTGTGTGGGAGAGAAAGTTGAAAGGGGAGCCTGGGAAAGGGTGTGAGACCTTCAAAGGATGAATCTAGCCAGGAGACAGGCTCAATGGGAATGTTTCCTTTGTGGTTGGTCCAAAAGAGAAAGAGAAACACACAAGTGTATTATTGGTCAGGCAGACAATATTGGGTGTGATTTTTAGTGAGGTCTCCATTGCTGTGTGGTTTGGACAATTAATGTTTTTGAGACTCTCTCTCTCTCTGTCTCTCTGTCTCTGTCTCTGTCTCTGTCTCTGTCTCTCTCTCTCTCTCTCTCTCTGTGTGTGTGAGTGTGTGTGAGTGGACATGTGTGCGCATATTCGCAGACCACATGGAAACCCAGCTGTTGGTTCTTACATGCCATCACC